AGATATATATGTATGATGAACCAATTCATACACTAAATAATAGGCCACTTAGTGGGTAGTATAAATGTACGAAAAATAATTTTGTTTCTAATTAATTTAATGCGCTTAATTTTCTTCGTTACTCGTGTATTCTCTTCGTGTACTTCAATTAAACTGAATATATATATATATATATACATATTATGAATGTATTATGTATCCCCTTTATAAATTTTGCCCCCTCAGATGAAAAATACTTCTGCGACGCCTGATTGACGTCAAAAAAAGTTCTAGTTTATTTCTTGAAAATAGAAATAATGAAAATTGCTTAGAAATCTATTCGATATGTAATATAGAACGAAATAAAAAAACTGTTTCTGATGAAGAATCTGATTATTGCCGTGCTTTGAATAAAAGATTAAAAAAAAAATATTTAGAATTAGGAATACAATTTATTACAAGGAAAGATGATCAATGTTCTTCGCCCAAACGTTTACGAAATAGAATTCATGAAAGAGAAGATGTTTATTTGAAGAAAAGAGTGATAATTAGCAGATGAAAATATAATTGATGAAAATGATCAGATATAGCACATGTATCACGTGAAGAGTAAATTGATAATTAATTTTGCATTTATGTCGCATTCACTTTTAGATATTCTATTTACTCAGTTAAAAACAAAAAAAAAAATGCAAAAAATTTTTTTTTCAGCAGACTTTAGCGTAACTCAGACTGCTGAACGATGCGGACTTCCTGCTGTCCTGAATCTTGCGTCAATAATGGTGGATCCATCACCAAGTCGGGTGTTTGCTTCTGCCGCATCTTGCGAAATTCCTGGGCTGCGCGGGAAGAGGAAGATGATTTTGCAGGAGGCGGCATCAGTTGTGTCTGCGACGTAGAGCGGCGCTGCCAGATTTCGCGATTCAAAGATAAGTTCGTTGTCGTTTGCAGCTTCTGTTGCGACTCGTTGTCCGATGTTTCAGTCGTTGATGTTTCCTGGTTATTGCGTTTCTATTGATAACGCAAGTTTAGATCAATCACAACAGATTGCTGATCTAGGGTGTGTTCGGAGAGCGCACTATCAGCGTTATTGTATCATTCTATTCTTGTTTTATGTCTAATGAGCAATAAAGATAGAATGACGCAAATAGCGCTAATAGCGTCCCCGAACGCACCCCTAGGCTCGCGTTACCGACATCTTCAATGTACTCGACCTTGTGCTTCGCCACTTGGAGAACGCCATCGATTTTCAGAGAACGAAAAGTACTTGAAAATTATTATTGGAACAATAAAGAATCGATATCCTAGCTAGTCTCAACGGAATCTCAATATTCGTCTGCGAACAATCACAAAAATAATCGTAGCGAGGTTTGAATCGCGCACGAACGCAAGAGGCAAAAATTAATGTTGCCTGAGCGAAATCGGTATACGTGTCTCATTTAGTTTAACAGGGGATGCGCAGGATCTACGACGTCGTCTTGTTCTATTGGGTTTGTGCGTGCAGCAACGAGATACGAATTATTATATCGTTATTTACTTTAAATCACATTTCTCTTATTTATACAAGGAGTCTCGGCACCGGAGATGTGGCGTCTAGATGTAGCGTCGCGGTTGAAAGTAAAAAAAAAAAATCTTTTAAGCAGCGTTTTTATTAAAATGCTGGTACTTTTAGAGTTGCAAATTGTTACAAAAGATTTTTAAGTTTTTAGAATCAACAGAACAAAATTCTTTATTTGTCTCAAGTTTAAGTTAATCTTAAATTTTTATCTTAGCTAAGTTTTATCTACATTTTTATTATTTCAATATATTAAATGTCAATATGTAATATATAGAATATTAAGCTGTCAGATTTATTTTGTAAAGAGAAGATGATAAATTTTTTAAAAGAATATATTTCAAAGGTTACCCGGTAATGGTGGGACCTCGTATATAATTTTACATATAACAAATAATGGAGATGAAAGTGATCACAATGAATAATAATTCGTGAAACATCCACACCTGTATGATACACTGACACTTGTACAATTCACTGACAACACAAGACAATAATATGTGAAAAAGTGCTGATCGATTCGGCAAGATTGATAAAGACTGATTTTAAAGATCTCCATTCAAATGATTCATGATTATGTTTCATGATTATTGCAAAAAATTAACATTATTTGTGACTCATTCTAACACAATTGATGAAGAATGGAATTGTGAAAATTGCACAATATTGAGACATATATAACTATTCGCATGCAAAATCAGCGCATAAATGAAATAGATACACATGAGACATTCAGTAAACACAAGCAATAACATAACATCAATGTTATAAATTTTCCACTCAACAATGTAGCTGCAATATAACATGCCTTGTACGTAACAATTATATTGTTGAGTGGGAAATTATAACATTAATGTCCCAGGGAGAAATACAGGTCGAAGAAACGTCCATTAAATGTCTATTACTTTGTGTTTACTGGACAGTACCATTTAAGAAATGGGATTAAAAACTGCTCGTAAAACTGAGTAACAGGTAGGTACAATGCATAGACGGCGGTCGTATCAGCATAATGATAACAGATTAGTTTATTTATTATACTATTTTATATTGTCCGGAAGTCAATAGTGGCTAAAAAAGTTAGTGGGTGAGATTGTTTTCTTTACTAAATATGCGTTTAAAGAATCTGAAACACTAAAATCTGCTCGCGCGGTGCGTCGGTATGTACAACACAATAAAAAGCAAAAACAAAACACGAAAAGAAAAAGATTGGGCATCGAATGAATGATAAATTATTAACGTTCCGTGCCCAGCCCGTTTTTGCGTGTACCACCGATGGTTCACACTGGCGCATTTATTATTTCAGCTCAAAACGTATATATTATAATAACTTTAAGATTGACGTATTATCAAAATAGTGTAGAATAAAAGAAATAAGTTGTCAAATGTTTTATAATAATGTATTTGTTTATATAAAATATTAAACACACACAGCCTGAATGGAAAGTTCAGCGTGGGCCATCGGTGGTACACGGGGCATGGAACGTGTTAAACGGTGGTTTCCAATAGTGCCGTTTGGTTTCCAATATTTACATCAAAAATAGTTTCCTCTTTACTGCAACATGGTTCAGGCTGCGGTAAGTCACTTGAAGATTTAGACGATCTTAGATCTAATTGAGTGAAATTTTTGATAGTTTATAAGTTCTTCAATAGACACATCAATTTCTAAAAGAACAAAACAAAATACGATTAATGAAAATAGATGCTAGTTACATATCTAGCAATGACAATATTCAAATAACACATTACCCTCTTCCGAATAGTTACTACTATCCGGTTCTTCTGTGCCTAATGTAGATTCTTCAGTTTCTCTAAAACATAAATTAAACCAATGTAGAAATTTAAAGATTTCTGAAATGACCGAAGAATAGTTTAAACACTGATAAATAATATTTTCTACTTACACATCGTCTAAATCTTCTGTAAAATGTTTCTCATATTTTATCCCGTCTAATTTTTCAGGGAATATTTCTTCGGCATAAATAATAATATATTTAATAACAATATTTATACAATTTTGACTAATAACGGGATCGTAATTATCTGGAATATTTATGATGGATGGTCCAAAACAAACAGCTAAATTATTAGCATCCATCATATTTTCGTCGGCGTAATCACTCAGGCTGAAACATAGATTACAATTTAATTTAAATGTATCTCTTTTATACTTGCATGTAGATAAATAATACCTACTGGTTAAGAAACGAAAATAAATATCGTAGCACGATAATTATAGATTTTGGTAAAGTGGAAATTAATTCTTTTAATTTTATAATAATGTCATTTGGAGAATTATTTTTCGAAATATCTATTAATTTTTCAAAATAAATTAAAGGGAACAGAGGTTCCCTTAATTCTCTAAGATATAATTTTAATAAACCGGCAACTGAATTAATGTCTGATGCATCAGTAATATAAGCGAGGGGATCTTCTCCTCGCTCAAACGATTCTTTGAATTTGTAAATTTCAACCTGAGAACCAGATACACGAAAAATGCCTTGATGATGCATTCCATATAAATTAATAATTCGGATACAACTTTTAATAATAAGAGGTATTTCCTCTTTAGTCGCATATAAATATTCTTCTAATGATCCTCCAAATAATTTAGTCTGTTTGGTTGTTTGTAAACGGCCAATTTTCCTGCGCGTCTTTTGTCTTATCATTGAAGCAGTTGGAACAGGACTGTCATTCGAATCCAGTAAATGTTCTTTAATATAATCTTGTTTTGCTTCCAGTCATGCTATTTTTGAAGTTGCTAATAAACATTCTTTAAATTTCCATAACAAGAGATATATTTATCTCTTTCCTCCCGATTGCTAACATCAATTATCTTGGCCCAACGTGGAAACTTGATTAGTCCATTTAATTCAACGATAAGCAAGCGATGTATTTTCCTGTATTATTTTCCTCGGATTTAACATCTATTGCAAACTGTTTGTAATACATTTATTGTGCAGCGGAATTATAACAATGACACGACACGAATAACATTGTTATAACTACGGTGCATTTATTTTAACATTTATGTAACAATATAGCCGTAAACTATTAACGGGGATAGTTTACAATAGAAAAATTAATTAATTGCCAAAGTTTGATGCAGTTAGAATAAAAAACAATATCTGTATCATGTTCAACAACAATCGAGTTATTCCGCAGCCTATATCTGAATCATGTTGCAGTAAAGAGGTATTGGAAACCATCGTTTAACACGTTCCGTGCCCCGTGTAACAAGCCAGCATTACTTGTTGGTAATTACCACGACATTCCTCGAGCACCAGAATAATATCGACAATTAACTAGAAACCAAAATCTAATCAATCTTTCAAAAACAAAAAACTGTTTGAATTGAAGACTTGGATCAGCGATAAGAAATTGGTGGGTTTTATTTAAAACATCGATTTGGTTTTTATTGGGTCGTAACTTGCGACTTAAATCTAGCATTCAATCTAACCATAAGATCCAAACCTTAAAGTACCCAAAAATAGACGTTTCATAATGAATTACATAATAAATTCGAACAATGTTTTGGGCCTGTTGAAGAGGGTTTAGCAAAAAATAACCAAGAACAAAATTGTTTAATTTTGAGGTATAGAATCCAAATCTGCTATTAAAAATGGAGGTCTCCATTTAAAAAAAATTGACTTGGGTCCTACCGGGCCCAACATAAAAATTCCGGACCTAAAATCTAATAAGATTATCTACTGGCCCCCATTGAACCCCCTAACTTTTATATGAAACATTTTTCTTTAAAATGCATTGTTCAAGAGATTTTTGAGGCCATCATTTAAAATGGAACACTATATATTTCGTTCTACGAGCAATTTTTAATCCCGTTTCTTAAATGGTACTGTCTCTTGTGTATGTATATTATTTATGCGCTGATTTTGCATGCGAATAATTGTAAGTGTCTCAATATTGTGCAATTTTCAAAATTCCATCATTCTTCATTAATTGTGTTAGAATAAGTCACAAATTATGTTAACTTTTTGTAATAATTATGAAACAAAATCATGAATTATTTGAATGGAGATTTTCAAAATCAATCTTTATCAACTTGCCGAATCGATCAGCACTTTTTCACATATTATTGTCTTGTGTTGGTAGTGAATTATACAAGTGTCAATGTATCATACAGGTGTGGATGTTTCACAAATTATTATTCATTGTGATCTTTCATCTCCATTATTTGTTATATGTGAAATTATATACGGGGTCCCACCATTACCGAGTAACCTTTGAAATATATTCTTTTAAAAAATTTATCATCTTGTCTTTGCAAAATAAATCTGACAGCTTAATATTCTATGTATTACATATTGGCATTCAACATATTAAAATAATAAAATTATAGATAAAACTTAGCTAAGATAAAAATTTAAGATTAACTTAAACTTGAGAAAAATAAAGAATTTTGTTCTCTCTTTATTAATTTTAAAAACTTAATATTTTTTCAATAACTACAATTTTCAATAAGTGCAATTCTAAAATTATCAGCATCTTAATAGAAATGCGTCAATAAAATATTTATTATTATACTATTCTAAATTAGAATAATAATAAAAATAAGACGCGCTGCGTGATAATGTTTATATACGCATATACCAGTGCTCGGCACGATCTGCACATTGCGTAAAGATTAATAACACGTTAAAAAGATTTAATTGTAATCGTAAGTCTCAAATGTGAGCAAAAGCGTTGCCACATCCTATGTGCAGGAGTCATCACGTGTGCAAGTTGTGCCGATTCAATAGGTAGCGAGACACATTGGCATGTGTTCGATTGTTGTAAAAAAATTGTTTATTGTAAAATATATTCTTCTGTATTGTGTGTGTTTTTGTTACGTTTTTTTTCTATACACGAATGATGGTAGGCGAAATTACTATGAACGGAAACAAAAAGGTATAGCTTATAGCCATAGTAAGTTGACTAATGCGTCTCTCTTTTTCTAAATTGAATACACTCGCTTATTAACATTGCAAAGGTACGCTAAAAAGCTATGTAATTAATTTAGCTGCAGCTAAAAAAATTAATCAGCTGTGACATCTAGATTATGTTGTCATATTATCTCGATGCTATAGTTACAATCGGTAGCTATATTTGTCATAAAGATCGTTCTACCTATAGTATCAAAACTTATATTTATTCATGCAGTGATTAATATTTTGCAATAAAACCAAAATTTTCTAGAAGGTATTGCTGAAATATTGCTGCTATAAATTTTATATGTGACAAACAATATTTTAGCAGATACAAAAAGCAGCGATAAAATTTTGTTGGGACACCTAGAAGTGTACCTACATCAGCAAAACATCTTTTGAGTGATTAGACGCCAATTTTGCGATGCGCGTCTTTTGAAATTCACAAAGTTGAATATATTTTAATCTGTGAGCTTCGAAAATTTCCAACGAAAATCTATTTACGTCAGTCCGAAATTTCAAACAGAATACGCAAAATCCTGCCTTTGCGGAAACGCAAATACGTTTCTACGAACCACTTCAGAGAAAGAATAATTAAATTATAATGTTGTTATACATGCGAATAAATAGCGCGTGGAATGAAGATGACGTGCCCGTTACATGCGAAAAGCTTGTCAATTACTAGCGTTTGTGACACGAGCGTGGTGAAGGACTCGCTCTCTGTCATCTCCGCAAAAACATACGTTTCTCACATAGACTGTATAATTAGAATTAAAGTATAGTTATTACAGCATACATATCACTGAGAATATCCTTGTATTTTTCATCTTTGTTCCTCATCCACAAATATACTGCAACTTTACTGCAATGGTTCACACAGGCTGCGGAGTAACTCGCTTATATCTCAATTAATAGTTTACGGCTATATTGTTACATAAATGTCATAATAATAAATGCACCGTAGTTATAACAATGTTATTCGTGTCGTGTCATTGTTATAATTCCGCTGCACAATAAATGTATTGCAAATAGTTTGTTGTTAATGTTAAATCCGAGGAATGTTAAATCCGAGGAAAATATCACAGAGAAATACATCGCTTGTTTATGGTTGAATTAAATGGACTAATTAAGTTTGGGCCAAGATAATTGATGTTAGCAATTGGGACGAGAGAGATATTCGTATCTCTTGTTACAACAATTTAGAAAATATCTATTAGCTACTTCAAAAATAGCGCGATTGGAATCAAAACAGGGTTATATTAAAGAACATTTGCTGGACTCAAACGAGAGTCCTGTTCCAACTGCTTCCATGATAAGACAGAAGACGTGCAGAAAAATTGGCCGTCTACAAACAACTAAACGAATTCAATTATTTGAAGGATCTTTAGAAGAATATTTAGATTCAACTAAAGAGGAAATACCTGTTATTATTAAAAGTTATATCCGAATTATTAATTTATATGGAATGCATCATCAAGGCATTTTTCGTGTATCTGGTTCTCAGGTTGAAATTTACAAATTCAAAGAATCGTTTGAGCGAGGAGAAGATCCTCTCGCTTATATTACTGATGCATCAGACATTAATTCAGTTGCCGGTTTATTAAAATTATATCTTAGAGAATTAAGGGAACTTCTGTTCCCTTTAATTTATTTTGAAAAATTAATAGATATTTCGAAAAATAATTCTCCAAATGACATTATTATAAAATTAAAAGAATTAATTTCCACTTTACCAAAATCTATAATTATCGTGCTACGATATTTATTTTCGTTTCTTAACCAGTAGGTATTATTTATCTACATGCAAGTATAAAAGAGATACATTTAAATTAAATTGTAATCTATGTTTCAGCCTGAGTGATTACGCCGACGAAAATATGATGGATGCTAATAATTTAGCTGTTTGTTTTGGACCATCCATCATAAATATTCCAGATAATTACGATCCCGTTATTAGTCAAAATTGTATAAATATTGTTATTAAATATATTATTATTTATGCCAAAGAAATATTCCCTGAAAAATTAGACGGGATAAAATATGAAAAACATTTTACAGAAGATTTAGACGATGTGTAAATAGAAAATATTATTTATCAATGTTTAAACTGTTCTTTGGTCATTTCAAAAAATCTTTAAATTTCTACATTGGTTTAATTTATGTTTTAGAGAAACTGAAGAATCTACGTTAGGCACAAAAGAACCGGATAGTAGTAACTATTCGGAAGAGGGTAATGTGTTATTTGAATATTGTCATTGCTAGATATGTAACTAGCATCTATTTTCATTAATCGTATTTTGTTTTGTTCTTT